CCGAGACCCTGACAACCTCTGATCTCTGTTTTGTGTCCTTTTGGTTTTGCCTTTCCCAGAATGACAATAAATGTAATCACACTGTATGTAGCTTTTGGGATCTGGCTTCTTTCACTTAGCATAATGATTGTGCTAAGTGAAGAAGCTATTGTGATTTTTCGATGCTATTACATGTATGAGTATTTTGTTCCTTTTTATTGCTGATTAGTATTCCACTGTATGGATCTACCACAGTTTGCTTATCTGTTCACCAGGTAGTGGACAGTTAGATTTGTGACAGCCAGCTTCCAAAACAGTCCCAGTGATCTTTGTCTCCTGGTATTCACTCCTTTCTGTTGGCCCCTCCCACATTTTGTCCAGATTGATCTCTGGACCAGCAGACTATGGTCCAGAGACCGTATTGAAGCTAGGTCCTGGAAGACATTGTGGCTTTGCCTCACTCTTATTTGGATTACTTACTCTGGGGGAAGCTAGCTGTCATTTTGTGAGGAAATTAGGGTCCCTGTGTGGAGGTTGGTGTGGCCAGGAACCATGGCCTTCTGACAATAGATAATGAGGAACTGAAGCCTTTTGTCAACAGCCATACGAGCAAGCCTTCTTAGAACAGATCCTCCGGGTCCAGTCAAGCTTTCAGATAATTGTTTCAGATAACCGGACTTCAATGAGAGTCCCTGAGCCAAACTGCCCAAACGAGCTTTTCCCAAATTCCTATCCCATAGAAATTGCGAAATAATGCGTGTTTAGTATTGTAAGCTGCTAAGTTTTGAGGTAATTTGTTATGCAGCAGTAGTTAGATAAGGTTGCTTCCAGTATTTGGTGATTATAAATAAAGCTGATATAAACATTCATGCACAGGTTTTTATGTGGACATTTGGTTTTGTTTTTTGGGCATAAAGACTTAGGAGTGGAATTGCTGGGTTTTGTTGTTTGTATTTCTCCTTTCCACTCTATATTTGTTATTTCTTTTTCTTGTCTTCTTGTATTAGCTAAGACTTGTGGTGACAAGGGACATCCTTGTCTTATTCTTGATCTTAGTGGGAAAGCTTCTAGTCTCTCACTATGAAGTATGATGTTAGCTGTTGTTTTTTGTAGATATATAAAGTTGAGGAAGTTCCCCTCTAGTCTTAGTTTGCTGATAGATTTTATCTTGAATGGGTGTTGAATTTTTGTCAAGTGCTTTCTGTACATCTATTGATATGATCATATATGGCTTTTTTCCTTTAGCCTGTTGGTGTGATGGATTACATTAATTGATATTAGAATGTTGAGCTAGCTTTACATACCTGGAATAAGTCCCACTTAATTGTAGCATATAATTTTTTTTTTTTACTAATATTCTGTTTGTTAATATTTTCTTGAGGAATTCTGCATCTGTGTTCATGAGAGATACTGTTCTTTAATTTTTGTTTCTTGTAAGTTTTTGTCTGGTTTTGGTATTCTAGTAATGCTGCCCTCATAGAATGAGTTAGGAGGTATTCCCTCTGCTTCTACTTTCTGCACGAGATTGTAGAGAATTGGTATAATTTCTTAAATGTTTGATAGAAATCACAAGTGAAACTGGCTAGGCCTGGTGATTTCTTTTGGAAGGTTATTAATTTTTGATTCAATTTCTATTTCTCCTTGTGTGGGTTTTGAAAGATAGTCTTTCAAGGAATTGGTCCATTTTGTTTAAGTTGTCAAATTTGTGCACATAAAGTTGTTTATAATACTTCTTTATCTTTTTTTTATTACTATCTATGGGATCAGTAATAATGGCCCCTCTTTTTTGTTTCTGATATCAGTAATTTGTATCTTCTTTCTTGTTTCTTGGTTAGGCCATTTAGAGGTTTATTGATTTTTATTGACCCTTTCAAAGAGCCAGCTTGTGGTTTCGGTGATTTTTCTTTATTAATTTCCTGTTTTCAGTTACATTGATTTCTGCTCTGATTTTTCTTATTTCTTCTGCTTATTTTGGATTTAATTTGCTCTTATGTAGTTTTCTAAAGTGAAAGTTTAGATTATTGATTTTAGATTTCTCTTCATATATATATATATATATATATGTATATATAATATATATATACACACACACACACACACACTCCATGCTATACATTTCTCGCTAAGCACTGCTTTCACTGCATTCTACAATTTTGATAATTTGTATTTTCATTCAATCTCAAATATTTAAAAATTTCTCTTGATACTTTTGTGATTCATATGTTGTTTAATCTCCAAATATTTTGGGTTTTTTTTCAGTTGTCTTTCTGTTATTGATTTCTAATTTAATTATTTTGTGGTCTGAGACCATACTTTGTATGATTTCTCATCTTTTAAAAATTTTTATGTGTATTTCATAGCCCAGAATGTGGTCCATCTTGGTGAATGTTACATGTGAGTTTGAGAAGAATTGTGTATTCTTGAGATGCTTGGATATTCTGCTGTTATTGGATTATATTATTCTATAAATATTAATTTGATCCAGCTGATTGATGGTGCTATTCAGTTCAACCACATCTTACTGATTTTCTGCCTAATGGATAAAGGCTGAAATTCAGAGGCTAAAATTCCTTTAGTGTCCTTGTTTTTATTTTTCCTGTTATCTTTGGATTTCCTTCGAGACTCCTTAAATGGAGTCTGAGCTTGCAGTTTTTTGACTTGTATTAATAACTTTCTGATATTATATAGGAGCCCTGTTGATAATGGTGGTAAGTTGTGGGGGAACAAAAGTGTTCTATAATCCTGCAACTAGATCTCAGTCTTTTAGTGGGACTATGTTCATGGCTGTGACCTTTATAAGTGCTTCTCTCCTTTTCTTCCCCTTAGGTGAGACAGGAAGGCGAGAGGAGGCTGGAATTGGGTACATTCCTTCCCCATGTTAGTTAGGCTGTGGTAAAACCCATGTTGGTTAGGCTCTGCTAAAACAGTGTTCCTTGGAGTCAGGCCTTTGTTAAGGAAAACAGAATGTTCTGGGTGTATTTTACAAGGTTCACTTTCCCCCTCCCTCTGCAGGGAGCACCAGAGAATTTTCTCTGATCTTTACCCTGAAGAGAAAGTGGTGGGGCTCCTAGAGGTAAAAATTCATGAAAATGCAGAGCCCACCTAAGACTGGGCTGCCAGGAGATTTTCTCTCTCAAGCTAGTCCACACCCCCTCTCCAGCAATTAGTCAATTAGTCTTTTAAGTGTTCCTGCCAGTTGCTGACTCCAGAGATGGTTCCTGCTCTTGGTAAGCTATGAATCTCTGTGTTCACCTCTCCAGTTTTCTGGGTGGTGGTTTGCCCTGTGACCTCAATTCCCTGTGATACCTAGAAGAATTACTGGTTTTCAGTGAGTTAGGTTTTTTTGTGTTGTAAGAATCAGAGTGACGTCTTCCAAGCTCTTTACATGTCAGACTGGAAACTGGAAGTTCTTATGTTTTACTTTTAAACTATTTAGCTTTGTATTTGAAGTGGATTTCTTATAGATAGGATACTTTTGGGTATTGCTTTTTTATCTAATCTAACATTCTTTATCTTTTAATTGGGAGTGTTTAGACCACTTACACTTATTATATCTTGATACAATTAGATTTAAAACAACTATCTTGAAATTTGTTTTCTTTATGTCCTTTTTTTGTTAATATTTATTCCTTCTTTTTCTCCTATTTTTGGATAAGTTCAGTATTTTCTATGATTCTGTTTTATCTCCACTGTTGACTTGCTCTTTTTGAAATTTTTGAGTGGTTGCCCTAGGATTTACAATATACATCTTTAATTACTGTAGTTTACCTTCAAGTAACATTATACTACTATAGGTGTGGTATATGAATTCTTCAACTGCTTCCTCCCATCCTTTATGCCATTTTTTGTCATGCATTTTACTTTTGCATGTTTTAAGCGCCACAATATATTGTTCTATTTTTGTTTAAAAAGGTCAGTTATGTTTTGGAGTGATTAAAAATATACCATTTTTGTTTAATTTAATTTTTCAATTTTTAGAACTTTTCATTTCTTTGAATAGATTCAAGATTCTGTCTGGTATCACATTCCTTCTTCCTGAAGAACTTCCTTTAACATTTTTTTTGTGTTGCACGTCTGCTAGCAATGTTTGGTTGAAAAAGTTTTCATTTTGCTTTTATTATTGTGGTATATTTTCCCTGTGTGGAATTCTAGGTTGGCAGGTTTTTTTCTTTTACTACTTTAAAGATGTCATTTCATTATCCTCTGGCTTGTGTAGCTTCTGAAGAGAAGTCTTTTTTTTTTTTTTTTTTTTAGCTGAGCCATCCCGCCACCTGTTGGCAGCTCACGGCTGCTCAGCTTGGGCTGGACTCGAACCGCTGTTGCTCAGAGCTCAAACTCTTGAGCGAGCTCTTAACCAACTGAGCCACTCGGCCGGCCCCTGAAGAGAAGTCTTGTCTAGTTAATGTGTTTTCTTTTTTTCCTGGCTGCTTTTAAGATTTTGTCTTTGATATTAAGCAATATGAATATGATGTGTCAATGTGTGTTTGTGTTTGTGTGTGTGTGTGTGTGTGTAATCCTGCTTGAGATTCACTGAGATTTTTGGATCTTCTGGTTTGATGTCTTGCACTATTTTATGAAAATTCATGGCCGCTATTTCTTCAAGTATTTCTTTTGCCTTATTTCTTCTCTGTTGACCTCTGGGAATTCAGTTATACATATGCGGGGCCATTTGACTTTGCTAGACTGTTTGGTATTGTCCCATAGTTTTTTTTTTTTTTTTTTTTTTAGCTGAGCCATCCCGCCACCTGTTGGCAGCTCACGGCTGCTCAGCTTGGGCTGGACTCGAACCACTGTTGCTCAGAGCTCAAACTCTTGAGCGAGCTCTTAACCAACTGAGCCACTCAGCCGGCCCTTGTCCCATAGTTTTTAGTTGCTCTATTTTTTTTTTTCCTACTGGTTTTTTTCTCTGTGTTTTGCTTTATTATTTTTTTTTATTGGCCTACCTTCAAGCCTACTGCTTCTTTCTTTGGCTTTACTGAGTCTACTGATGACTCTGTATTTTGTCTAAGGAATCTTTCATTTCTGATATGGTGGGGGTTTGTTTTTTTTTTAAATAGATTTTCCGTTTGACTTTTTTTTTTTTCAGCTGAGCCATCCTGCCACCTGTTGGCAGCTCAGCTCGGGCTGTGAATCAAACCAGCGACCCTGTTGCTCAGAGCTTGCACTCTTGAGCAAGCTCTTAACCAACCATTTGACTCTTAAAGGAATTTTCATCTCTGTTGAAATTCCCTGTCTGTTCCTGCATTTCATTTACCTTTTCCCTTACATTATTTTACATATTGATCATCATTATGTTAAATACCTGTCTGATAATTCCCAACATCTGGGTCATATCCAAGTGTATTTCTTTTGATTGCTTTGTCTTTTGACAATATTTGTTTTTCTTGTTTGTGTGTCATAATTTTTTATTGACTGCTAAACATCACATGTAGATGAGTAGATGCTGTGAGAAATGGTATTTGCACTTTGAAATGGTTATCTCTTCTACTACCAGTCCTTTATGGGGGGTTGGGTTACTTAGGAACTGAGCTGGGTGTGGTTTTTTGTTGTGGCTGTTTTGTTTTGCTATGGTTACCTTCAGTACCTCACAGGCTTCAGGTTCCTCTAAAGATGCCCAGTCCTTATGGTGGGGGCTGTTGTGCCAGAGGACTTTTCTTTGTGTTCCTCCTCCGCTCTCAGCTTTCAGCTGTATCTATACTCCTGTGCTCAGAGGCTGTCTTCGATGCTCTTGCCCTGCCTCCAGCAGTAGAATGCTATGCCTTGTGACTCAGCTGTGGGGGTGAGAGGCAGGGCTTGTTCTCTGTTTTCCTTTTCCAGCCTCAATCTTAGACTGCCCTTCTGTGCCTGGCCTCCAGGTTGGGGCTTTTCCAGCATTTTGGGCCCTCCTACCTTGATAGCCTAACCCTGCCTTGTATCTGTGGCTGGTCTCTTGTGGGAGAGACTTTTTTTCCCCACTCCAGAGGAAGGACTGTTTTCCTGCTTCTTCCCCAGGGGTAGAGGTTTATCCGTTTACTCTTCTCCCAGCGAGGATGGGTCTATATCTGTGTCCTGGAGTCAACAGGCTTGATGCTCCTCTCCCAGCAGCTTAAGACCTTCGTTTTGTAGGAGAGAAGGGCTTGAGCTGGAGGTAGGGCCTTTTGCTTTTCCTGCAGTGGTGGTCAGTCTCGTCCTCCATGCATGTACCCCAAGCCTTTCTAGGTGTACAGTGAGGGCCCTTGGAAAAGAGTGACTTCACCTTATGTTTGCTACTTCCATCAGTCTTGAGTAATTTGTTCAAGTCCTACCAGATTTCTTCTTGGGTGTTTATTTGGTCGGTGCTCCTTCCGCCCATGCTTTACCACAGCTGGGCCAGCCTCTACGTCCTTTTTTTTCTGAGCTTGGGAGCTGCCCCTTTTTGAATTCCAGGCTATTTGGTTGCTGTGTGGTTTCAAGTTCTCATGTTTTCAAAAAAATTATGAAATCATGAGTTTGTTGCTTATCTAGCCTTTTCTTGTTTGAATGGGGGTGATGCCTTTTTTCAGCTTCCTATAGTCTAGATCCTTCAGAAGTTTCTAATATTCTTTATAGCATCAAATATTTCTGAATTTGCTCAAATCGAGCATTTTCCATTGCTTGACTTAGTAGTATAATTCGACTGCTGCCCTACTGTGTCAGCAGTGGGGAATAAATCAGTGCTAGTTCACATCCTTCTATGGCATTTGCAGAGGGCAACACATAGAAGTCACTGGTTCCCTGAAGATGCCCCACTGCTCTGACATCTTCTAGGTACAGAAGAGAACAATAGTTGCCACCACCGGAAGGGTGGTGGGATCACTTAAAAATGTGTTGGCTATGAAAGTTATGAAATTTATAAGTGTAGTGTCATACATTTTACTTCATGTGATTTCGAGCTTTGGGTCCATCAGTGAAGTATCATATGATTATCATTTTACACATTAAGAATGACTGACTACTCTTTTTTAATGAGAAACAACATGAGAAAGTTCATTGTTTAACCTTTACTTTGCTTCTCTATGGTCAGGTATTTTTCAGGTCAAGTCAGCAGACACTTGCTAAGGTTTGTAACACAGTTAGAGATTAAAAGATAAAAAGAGACACAGTCTTTGCTGTCAAGGAGATTGCAATCTAGTGGAGGAATTATAGCTTTAAAGTAGTAGTTGTTATACAGTGTAATAATGTATAACTTCTGTTTAGTGCTTACTAAGTGACAGGTCCTGTTCTAAGTGTTTAAATACTTTGTGTGTTTAAAATAACAGTTTTCTCAATAAAGCTTCCTAAAGTCACATGAAGTATGTCCCTTGATATATTTTTATCATTTTCTCAGTGAGGATACTGTAGTACAGAAATATTAAGTAGTTTGGCAAAGATCACATAATAAGTGGGAATGCTGGGATTCAGCAGACAGGCTCTACCATGTTATACTGCTTTTCACTAAGTATTGGCTCAGTGCAGCAGTGGCCCAGAGGAGAAAGTGATTGGCGCTGCTTGAAAGGATCGGGAAGTCTTCCTGGAGATGATGCTTATCCTTCATGATGGAGCAAGAATAGGTTTTCACTGAGTAAGGACATAAAGGCAAGAGGAACTTTTGTGTTTCAATTTTACTCTTGTCGTGTATGAATATCTTTATGGTACCTTATATAGTATGTGCAAAAATGTGTAGCTTATGTGGCTCATTGAAAGAATTGGAAGTAGTAAGTTGAGAACAGAGGGAAGTGGCCTAGGTGGAGCTAGCTAGTTAGGTCGAGCCTGACCATGGAGGGCTTTATTAAACAGTTCACACTTGATTGTAGAGATAGTATGAGCCATTGAAAAATTGGAAGTAGCAGTGTAAAACAATCAGTGTTTATTCACATTTGAGATGTGAATATAAATACACACACAGTATATTTAGATGTTCTTTAAAAATTAAAGTCAACAGCCAAGAAAACTTGGTCCTAATGTAAGCATTTGTGTGTGCAAGTGATATTTCTTTTAAGGGTTGAGGTCTGGTTTAGAGGATAGAAGAATTCTGGCTCACTTTAACTTCATCCTGTTTACCAAACTTTCTGGACAAATATACATGATAATATATTGAATTATATAGTTCTTTCTTGATTATGAGAATTGGTTGTCACTTGCGGTGTCTTTAGGATTCGGAGTGGATCAGTTACGAGATGATAATCTGGAAACGTACTGGCAGTCAGACGGTTCCCAGCCTCATTTGGTGAACATCCAATTCAGGTAACGCATTTCTGAGTTTTCAATTTGTGTATGCTGCAAGTGGACAAAGAAGCCTGTTTTACTTATGTGAAACTATGTAGAAATTATGGTGAACTGCACTTCACTCCGCTTTTGGAAAGTCTTAGAGATTATTTTTCTGCTCAACGTGATTATATTTTCAGTTTTCTCTGTCTTATCCTGTATGAATTCTTTATGGTGCCTTACACAGTCCTTTTACGTAGACATTTCTGAAATGTACATTTCAGTATAGTATATTTCAGAAAAATATACTTTGCCTATAACCCAATACAATGACCGAATGCATTGCAGTAAGTATGCCTGGAGAGATGATAGTAAGTTCTTTAGCTATAGACTATTCATATAACTTCTCAAATTTGTACTTCCATTTGAAAAAAAATAAATTAACTTAGAACCACTAAGGACATTTTCAGTTTTGAAATGCTTACTTTTGGGGGCGGGCGGACGTAAAGGAAAACAGCCATATGTTTATCAGTTGCTTTCAATTTATTGACTTAGATGGAAAGCAGTTAACTTGGTCATCTTTCTCCATTTATGCCATTCACTTTAATATTCTGTAGCATTGCATTTTTAGTTTGTTTTTATCTTTCTAGGTTACAGATGAGCAAATTTCTTATGAAAATGCCAGATAATAAATATTTTAGGCCTGTGGGCTATCGGGTCTCTGTTAGAACTACTCAGGTACCCCATTATAGCATGAAAGCAGCCATAGGCAATGCCTAGTGACTGACTTTAGCTGTTCTAATTAAACTTTATCTTTCAAGAGTAGGTGGTGGGCAGGGTTCAGCCAGGGGCTTGTAGTATGCCAGCTCCTGTCCTAGGGTATTAAATATATACACCAGAAATAGAAACAGCAACTAATACATTTTTTAAAGACTTAAAATACCAGATACTTTGCTAAATGCCTTTCCATTTCATTTAAACTTCAACTATTTTTAATCCTTATTTTGTAGTCTCAGAAGCAGAGATTTACATAAATTAAGTGACTTACCCAAGGTCACATAGCAAAGGAGTGGCAGAATTGCAATTTGAACACAAGTACTCTGAACCGAGAGCCTGTGCTTTTAACCATTATGCTGTATAGCTTAGGGTAAATCGCTTCCCTGTGACAACAAAGAATATTGCTTATAAGTTGTATAATGAGGGTCCTAATTTAATTGTATTACATTAGAATAGCAGGATTTTCCAGCAAATACAATTTTATACAGAAGGCAAATGTGTTGAACAAATAATAATAAAAATAACTTATTGACGTAGTGAGGAACAGAAGAATGTTGAAAAAAAAATGTCGAAAAGGTCTACTAGCTTGCTTTGTTTTGAAGATAAAGGCTGATAGTTTAACAGTGGAGATAAATACAAATTTCAAGAAAAAAAAAGAAAAAGAAAAGGTCAGACTCTTTCCACCCTCTTACCCTGCAGCCCTAATGGTGCACAAGCGTGTCCTGGCCGATGCTCTCAAGAGCGTGGACAAAGCTGAGGAGAGATGCAAATGCCAGGTTCTTATTGGGTGGTGCTCTGACGTCCTCCTCCAGTTTCCAATTGTGCTGATGAAGCTTGGTCACATTGGCGGATTTGAAATCATTGATGATCTCGGAGCTGGGAAAAAATTGTTGTGAACCTATCTCATGGGCAGGTTAAAAAAGTGTGGAGTAATCATCCACAGATTTGATGAGCAACTCAGAGATCTAGAAAAATGGCAGAACAACCCTATCGGGTCCCGGCAGTTTGGTTTCATTGTACTGACAACCTCAGCGAGCATCATGCACCAGGAACAAGCAAGACGAAAACACACAGGAGGGAAAATCCTGGCATTCTTTTTCTAGGGATGTAATACATACGTGCAAATAAAATGTCTCAATGGGGAAAAAAAATTTATTTCCTAGAATCTAGTTGAATGAGAACATTGATAGATAGCCATAAATGCCACTGTCATTTAAAACACTTTAAACAGAAAATACCAACACATGTATGGCTGTAAGTTGCATAAACCAAATCATACAAATTAATTTCCTTCCTCTGCAAATTGCAGACTGTCCATAACTTTTCTACTTTATAATTTTGTAAAGTTTTAGGTTTTTAAAAAATATTAGTTAACAGATGAACACTAGGACCTCTTGCATGGTAGCACTTCAGTTTCAGCACTTCCACATCTTTGTGAAAAAGCACTTGTGCAATTATTGAATAGTTTATTACATTTCTTCCTTATTTTTAAGAAGTAGAGCAAATGGAAAAAAATCAAAGTGCTGATGCCATTTAAAGAATAATAGGTACTAAGCTTAACAACTTAGGACAATGGTGACTATGTTAGAAATCATTAACCTCAACCAGGTATCCATTGGACTTTATGCGTCAATTTCACATCAAATGTGAAAAAAAAAATTAAAGGAAATGTTAGAAATTGATTGTCAAAGATTATTACGAAACTATGTGGTGTAATTTAGGATTGGGTTTAAGTTTTTCAGCTCTTTTCATATCTCCATTATATAGGCCCAGTGTTCAACTTTCTTCTGTTTGATTTTCTATGTGTTTTCATGAATACGTTATGTACTAAAGAAAGGACTTTGTGTATTGAAAAGAAATTATATTACAAGTAAGCTTGAAAGAAGTTCAGTTTGGACTTTATATTTTGCTATGAGAAAAGAAAATATTTAACTTCTTGGGCTATTCTCCCCTTCAGAGAAAATAAGCAACTTAGTTCTTACAGTGGTTTCTCAGCTAGTTGAGGGTGTAGATTTTAGAAATAATCAGTATGTATTAACGATGTGTCAAGGTGGACTTGTAGTGCACAATTACAAAGTAGCATTTACTTTTAGATGTCATTGCACCTTTCAATCATAGGCAAGTTCTTTCTTGTCCTGGATGAGAACTCGGAAAAGAGCAGGTATGACATTTTTGGGTAATATATACAGTTCTCTGTTCATTTCAAATAGCAAAAGATCGGTTAGAAATGAAAACATTCAGTCTTAGTGCGAATAGTGAAATTAGCTGGTAGTCCTAGATAATAGTGAAATATTTCCACGTATGTATTACATCTGTAGCAAAAGAATGCCAGGATTTACCCCCTTGTGTGTTTTCGTCTTGCTCATGGTTCATGATGCCTGCAGAGGATGTCAGACTTATGAGGTTTCTCCCTCCCTCTTCCTAAGCTGGAGTCTGTTGTAAGTGGAAGAAGAAAAGTGTGGCTTGCTTCTGTTTTCCTACCTTGCTTTTATTTGTCTTCTCCCATATTCCTATCTAATTTCTGAACTCCCCAGGCCTGCCAGTATGGAAGTGGAGAAGGAAGATTCATAATTGCGATTCTATCTTGGTGATCTAGCATTGGTACCCTCTGTACTTGGATATATGTTTAAAGCGACTGTATTTCCCCATGTAGAAGACGCTCCCATGTATAAGTCACACCTTAATTTTGGGGCCTGAAATTTGAAAAAAAATGTATTACATAAAGTTATTGAACTCAAGTTTTATTCATCATAAAATTCATACAACTCCTCATCACTGTCAAAACTCACAGCCATTAGCTTGTCCTCATCTGTGTCTGATGACGAATCACTGTCTTCATATATTGCCTCTCATGGCCTTCTTCTGCCATGGCGTTTTCAGTAGGGTTTCTTCTTCCCGTAGCCAGTCTCGGATTGTTTTCTCAGTTGGAGGAGGACCAAACTTCTGTTCAGCAGCATGATTTCCATTCACTTTTGCAAACTGGATCACTTTTAACTTGAATTCAGCACTGTACGAAAATCTTTTCTGGGCCATTTCTGGGCAGAAAGTGGCAAAACGTAACCTACCATAATATACCAGTAACAAGTGCGAAACAATGAGCGCAAAGACAACAAGCGTGAAAAAGCGGGAAATGCAAGTAAAAAAAATCTACAACAATGAGCGCAAAAACAAGTGCGAAAAAAGTGGGAAATGCAAGTAAAAAAATCTACAACCATTGTATAAGATGCACCCAGTTTTTAGATCCCAAATTTTTCGAAAAAGGGTGCATCTTATACATGGGGAGATACGGTAACTGTATCTTATGGATGCTTTTGTGGTGGAGAGAACCTACCTCCACCATCACTTAATGCTCTCCGTGATTCACCTGCAATTCTCTTGATGAGGATGCATTCATCATTTACTCCTTCCTTAAATCTTAGGCCTTTGGTGATACCTCCAGCTTCCTGCTGAGGGTTGTTGGCCCTTCCTAGCCAGAAATTAATATGACCTTTCAGGTTATCAGGTTGATTGATGAAGTTCCCTTCTAGTCCTAGTGCGCTTAGACTTTTTTTTATGAATAGGTGTTGGATTTTCTCAAATGCCGTTTCTGCATCTATTTATATGAGCACATGGTTTTCTTCTTTAGCTTGTTGAGATGTTGAATTTCGTTGATTTTTAAAAAAAATGATAAAATATACATAACATTTATAACTTTTGAGTGTACAGTTCAGTGGCATTAAGTACATTCACATTGTTGTACAACCATCACCACTATCCATGTCTAGAACTTTTTATCATCCCAAACTGAAACTTTGTACCCGTTAAACAATAGCTCCCAATATCCTCCTTTCCCCAGCCCCTGGCATCACTGTTCTACTTTTCTGTCTCTATGCATTTAACTGTTCTAAGTATCTTATATAAGTGGAATATGATATTTGTCCTTTTGTGTCTAGCTTAACTTAGAATCATGTTTTCAAGGTCACCCATGTTGGTCACCATGTATCAGATTTTCATTCTTTTTGAAGTCTGACTAGTATTTCATTGTATGCGTATACCACATTTTGTTTATTAGTTCATCTGCCTATGGACATGTGGATTGTTTTTACCCTATAGCTATTGTGAATAATGCCACTATGAAAATGGGTGCACAAATATCTATTTGAGTCCTGGCTTTCAATTCTTTTGTGTATATACCCAGAAGTGGAATTTCTGGACCAAATGGTAATTCTGTGTTGGGTTTTGGCAGCTCAGCTTGGGTCGGGCATCGAACTGCTGTTGCTCTG